AGGAACGCGGGGCAGGCAAGCTGCCGTCGTCGCGATGGGAGGGCCGTGGCGATGGAAACGGCTACAGTCGGTATTGAGTGGAGGGGGGGAAGGGGAACAGGCGGCCAGAGCTTTTGGGATGTGGGGAGGGAGGGAGGGAGGGGATGCGGTTGCGAATTTTTGCTGTGGTGAAGGGGGGCTGTAAGGGGCTGGTCCTTGCTGCCGCGGCCGTGCAGCTCAGACATCGTGGACGCCTTCGCACCTTTCCTCCCCTCGTCCTCCTCGTGCTGCTACGCCTCGCGCTAATGATGGTGGCGCCAACCTACCCCGAGGCTACCTGCTGGGCTTGCCGAGGCGCTGGGCTGTTGGGGGAACGCTGTCCTGACGGACCTGACCTGAAGTGACCAGGGCTGAGCCTGATTTGAACTCTTGAAGCTACCGTGTGGTGGGATGACTAGGTAACCCTAGACTTGCCTAACTTGGACAGTTCAGTTCCGGACCGGATCTGAGCTCGGAACACCTGAACACCAGCCGCAGCCATTCGCGCTTCCTATCGCGGCCATGCGTGGTCCGTATGGCCATTCTTGTCCGTATCCGGGCTTCCCTTGCCTTACCTCTCCCCCGTTCTGCGCAGCAGAAATAGCTGTAGGTTTAGCAAGGGCTGTTGTAAATGGGGGACCGATGTGACAGCGGTGTTGGCATGGTGTGCGTGGCGCCGTGTGGAGCTGGGCCCTAAAGAGCTGTAGAGGTGGTTTCCAACTGCCGGCGGTGGTTTCGGTGGCGCCGGCGGTGGCGGTGCCGTAGCCAGAACCGTTGCGACCCTATCTGTGCGGTCTGGGCGTACGCGTTGCATGTAAGGTTGGGCCTGTTGGCACTTTTGGTACTTTGGGGAGGGGGGGCCGTGTGATCTGGAGGGGATCTGGAGAGGCTGCAGACGGGCCTGGGGATCGCGCGTATGGCGCTGGGGCTGTGGGGGTGTGGGGGCATTGCACCGTCGCGTGGAAATCCCCCCAGGCTCTGTCTACCCTCCCTTCGGGGCATGCACGCGGCAATCGTCGACAGCAAGCTGCCTGGCCGCGCATATAACGGCGCCAGTGTGCTGCAGTGCATACTAATTACAAACGTTTTTACTTAGTTACTTTGGTGCGACTGAATTTGCATGGCAACGTCTACGAAGTGAGCGTGTGCGGCACGCCACAAAAGGTGCTGCCACCGTCTCCCCATAGGGGAGGAGACCGGAGAAACCAGTTAACGAGAACGCGTCGTGAACATTCCGCAGCTGGCAGGAAAAATGGCAGGCCAGCGCTTTGTGATTTAAAGTGGCGCCGGACGGGGTCCACGTCTAGCTGTCTGCACTTCCGCTGGTGTCCGTTTATGAGGTCTCCGCGATGATGATCAGGGCAGAGCAGCAGAACTGGCAGCCGGGGAGCCGTTGACCGGCAAGAGGGACCAGCACGCGGCGCCAGCATGCGCTCACCAAACTGCCCGCCGCTGAAGAGATGCATTGGTAGTTGCTTCAGTCCCCATCGACTCATCGACTCAGCGGTGTTCGGGACTCCCATTGCGTCGAAAAAGACGCTGCCGCTTAGTTCAGCTCCCTGGGAGGGCCATCGATGCGGAAGGCCCCGGCCAGCGAAGTCGATAGCTCCAGAAAGGAAGTCTGTTTATAGCACCGTTCGAGGGAACCTCAGCCCGACTACTTTCCTGCGGAGGGTGGTATTTTTGCTGTCCTTAGGCAGAGATGTGGGGGCGCTTGCAATCATCAGGTGTGATGTTGCAAGGTTGGTTTTATTCGCTTAGCGAAACTGTGGTTTCACCGACCGTGACCGGCGGGCAACTTTTAAGAGGCCTTTCCCGTGCTGTTATGGGGCGATGTCATGAGCCGCACAGCACAACTCGCATCATGGCGGCTTCTTTGAGGTTATAAGTGTGAAGGTAGACCCGAGTTCACCCGAACTGAAACCGGTCCGACCCGGGGGCCGCTTGATGTACGCGTCCACCGAGCATAAGCTAGATCAAAAGGAGTGTGCCATGAGTTTGAAATGGCTTGTGGGAATCTTGGCTGGGCGGTTGGCCCTTTTGCCTGACTCCGAACATGACAGCACGGCATAGCGTGCAGTATTATTTGCTTGTATTGTTATGTTCAAGCTAAGGTGGATACCATATACTGCTCAAGTTGAGGGGTCTGCATGGCACCTCATTGTTGAAGTGATAACAGACTGCTTCGTTACAAAGCAGATCTAAATCGGCAACGGTTTTGCTCGCCGTTAAGACCATATACACTTCTTTACTTCGTATTATTTGCTTCTCTTAGACGTGCCTTACTGCTGTCAGCAAATTTTGCTTGCGCCTTACCGATCATCGAAGTGCTACACCCAATTTGCGCACCCTCCAGACGCTAATTAGGAATGGGCTGCGTGGAAAGCTAACTTTATCCTTTTAGATCTACCTAACGAAATTTGAAGCGATGGCGCGCTCAGGCCAAAGGCCTGCGGCTGGCCGCCGTGGCGGAGTGGCTCTGGGGGTGCTGGGCATCATGCTTCTAGCGTTCTTTACCATCGTCTTCATGCTCGGGCGACCTGGGTACTGGAAATCGTTTAATGATTTGGTGCACCATCCCTTTGACCCTCACCCCATCGGTATTGACAAGCGTCACAAGGAGGCCGTGTGTAAGTGCCTTAATATTAATCAGCTATGCACAGAAATTTCCGCGTCATCGCTGCCCGTTGTTTGGAGGCTGAGATGTCGCCGGTCTGTTGCATGCAATTTCCACGCGCAGTTACGCAAGCTACTGGGAAAACAGGACAGGAGGCTGCAACCACTCCTGCAGTGACAACCCAAGGGAACGTAAAACCTGCAGTGGACATTGTCTCCCCGTCTCCGTCGCCGCCCCCGCCCTCGCCCGAGTCGCCCAAGGCACCCCCAGTGCCCATCCAGGTTGCTGAGGCCAACAAGAAGCAAGCCGGAGAGGCTACAGGCCAGGGGGATGCCAAGCCTGCAGCAACGGAGGTAGTAAAGCCTGCGGTTGAGGTGAAACCCGAGAGGTATGTGTCCACACCAAATTGCGCGTAGTTCCGCAAAAGTGCTATGCCGAAGCGCTCAAAGCTGCTAAGGGGTCCATGAAAACAGCAGGATTGAAGGCGTTTTGCCGCTGGCCCGGGCCATACCGTTCAGCGGAAGGTCGTCTGCTCGTCTCACAAGCGACCATGTAGCCAAATGCTTTGGTCGCCGGCTCCATCCACATGGCAGCACGGGTCTCAGCGCGGTACCAGGGGGGGGATTCCACGGGTGGCTGAAATGCCGTCCACAGCTGCGCTGGCGGCACCCGGGACGATTGGAGATAGGGATTTGACAACAAAAAAGGGGGTGGGGGCAGCTAGGTCACCCTCTGTCACGTGTGTGTATAGGGCGGGGGAAGCGGTACTCCTGCAGAAGCCAACAGAGAACATCCGCCGATGTCCAAAGCACCAACGGCCACAGTCCAACGGGGTCGAGGGGTCCACAGCGGCCGAGGTTCAAGCAATGGCTTATAGTTAGGGACAGAAATTGAGCCGTCCCAGCCCGACCGATTCCCAAGGACTTGAGCACTATTGGGCAGCTAGGGCGGCATGCGCTTATCTTTACCTTCCTGTAACCCTGGGGCGGTGAACTGAAAGGGCACAAAGGTGTACCCCGTCCATCTAGCGTGCGGCGTGCAGGGCAGAAGCTGATTGCGATGGAGTAGTGGGCGATGGGCCGGGGCCTCACCTGTCCCCGCGAGTCACGGAGGGTCACGGCATGCTGCTGGGTGGCTTTGCTACAGCTGGTGCAGTTGTTGCTGCCTTGCACGATTGTGTCAGGAGTAGCCCCGAAGTAGCGCCTGACCAAGCAGCGAATACGCCTTGTCAGGCATGGCATTCTACCGATCTAACCTGCACCCGCTTTGCACTTGCGCTTTGCAGCCAGGCGCAGCCGAAGGATGCGGAGAAGGCCAAGCCTGCGGCCGAGAGCGAAGATGAGAACGACGATGGCAAGATCACCAAGCTGGACAATGAGTATAAGCCCACCAGGTACGTGAAGGAAAGAGGGGGTGGAGAAGGGTAAAATTAATAAAAGGGAGACGAGAAACCTGACCCAGATGGAGCTCGAATGTGCGCTGGATTGGAGGGAAGGAAGTTGCAAGAGCTCTACGAGGGATGTGTGAGGGGGAAGGGGTAGAGGAAAGGAAACACACTCACACTGGCGCCCCGGGGGGGAGGGCAGGCAGCAGACGGTTAGGCAGGTGGTCCAGGCCTGGAAAGGGTTAGTTTCGTTTGGCTGGCTGGACCGTTTTTCCCCCCAGCGTGCATTTCACGACGCCAGCACCGCGCGGGTGGGCCGCGGGCCTAGGCTTCTGTTGCAGCTGCATCTTCCTTTTGGTCGGGTAGTTGTGGATCAGGTTTGGCGGATGTATGGTCAGAGGTAGCGGGATGAACAGGGAGGGTAAGAACCGGGAGCTAGGCCCTCTCGCGCCGGGCGAGTGTGCCTAGGTGGAGTGGTCCTCGCTTTGGTGTCTCGTAGAAGCTCTTCAGTCTCTCACAGAAGTAAGGGGATTTTGTAGCAGCTGTCCTCTCCTTCGTAGAGGGCGATGCAAAGAGGGCTTGGGGCTGACTGGTGCAGTTTCTTAAGGAATGGGGCGATAGTTTGGCTACTACGTCTGTGCCGAAAGGGGCTTACATTTGACCGTTGTACTGCGTCCGACACCGGCTGATGACGGTACCTTCATTGGGCATTGCCAATCCGTTATTGAACGCAATCCTCACCTCATCTCACCACCGCGCTGTTTCCCCTTGGGACACCATCATCGCGCAATTGCGCAATTCAATTTATATGACTTCACACCCCGCGATGCTTCAGTGCCCGGACGTCGCTAGCTTACTGCTACACGCTCTCCTCACACGTTATTCGCGCCACTCCGTCCCCTTGTCGTCAGCCTCTTCTGTGTCACTAATCTATGTCTGTGCCTGGCTCCTATCCTCTTCGTAATTTCCCTTCATGCATGTATTCCACCACCACCCCTGCTCTGTGCACTCAGGGAGATGGTGCAGCGCATCGCCCAGAACGGTTATCTGGTGGTTACGTGGGCTAACTACCACTACTTTGACTTTGTGCGCACCTGGGTGGACCACGTCAAGGCCGTGGGGGTGACTGGGTACATTGTGGGCGCCATGGACGACCACCTGTTGCGGGAGATGATTGCCCTCAAGTACAACTGTTTCTCCATGAAATCGGGTCTCACGCTGGGCGACTTTGGCTGGGGCTCACCCACGTTTGCCAAGATGGGCCGCGAGAAGATCCGGCTCATTTCGATCTTCCTAAAGCTGGATGTTAGCGTCGTGATTGCGGATGTGGACGTGTTGTGGCTGCGTAACCCGCTGCCCTACTTTGACCGCTTCCCCGAGGCCGACATCTTGACCTCTTCGGACAGCACCTTTGCGACCGTGCCCGATGAGCAGCTGGAACGGTGGCCTGAGGCGGGCGCCGCCGCAAACATTGGCATTATGCTCTTCCGCAAGAAGAGCTTGTCGTTCGTGGAGGACTGGATCCAGGTCATTGAGTCAGATGAGAAGATCTGGGACCAGAACGCCTTTAACGACTTGTTCCGCAGGTAACGTGCATTTGCACGCGTGTGTGTGTGTGTGTGTTTGTGTACATGTGCGTGTATGATGTTACAGGGTGGTATAGCTTCACCAGCGGCCCCCTTTCCCGAGGCAGTTCCCTGCTCTCAACTGCGAGAGGGGCACCCTAATCCATTCACCCCATCCAGCTTCAGAATATATTCGTTGGGTTCAGCAACTCACCACCAGCATCCAACCAAATCTAGCGGATCAACGGCGCCACAACTTAGTTCCTGGTCAGCTCGCAAGTTTGATATAGTCACGTCCTACACCGTCCACAAGATGGGGGGCCACCTCCCAATTCAACACCCCTCACACACCGAGGGGTCGGCAGGCGGATTTGAACCCGGAACCTCCGGGAGCAGAAGTCGGGCCTTAACTTCTGCCAGCCACCTGCGTGTATGTATGCGTCGGCGTGTGCCCTGAACCCTACTGCGTATCGTGCCGCCCTAATGCCCTTCCACCCCAATCTCTTTTATTTCACTCCCTCTGTTGTCCTACCCGCTCTTCCCCATCTCCCCCTCCTTCCTTACACACAACACACCAAACACACGTCAGAGGCTGGAAGATGCTGGATCCGCCCAACAAGAACCTCTTCCTCGGTTACGACGGCTCCCTGACCATGGGCATCCTGCCCGTATCGATTTTCTGTTCGGGCCACACCATGTTCACGCAGCGGCTGGGCTACACAATGGGCCTGCAGCCCTACGCGGTGCATGCCACCTTCCAGTTTAGCGGCACTCCGGGCAAGCGCCACCGCATGCGGGAGTTTATGTTTTACAGCGACCCACTGGAATACTATGATCACCCCGTCGGCTTCGTCAGCTTTGATGTGAGTTGCTTGGGGCCTTGTGCTGGGCTTCGTTCGGGGCGGCTTAGCTGGCTGGGGGTTGCGGCTTAGATGCGGCTTTTGCAGAGGTTGTGATTGGGATCCTGTGAGGTTTGACGATTGGGATCTAGAACAGCAAAACCTGGATAAGAAGGGGAAGTGGAAAGAATTAGATGTGGCTATCTTTCCCAGCGGATGGTCCCCTGGGCATTCAGAAACTCCGAACGAGGTTTGGCCCGGTGGAGGTACGGAGTGCCGTGCATCTCTTCCGCACACCAAGGATGCCCCGCCATCTCTCTCAAGATATTGCCCGTCCTCGTGCTCCCGCGCGCCTGTGTTGTCCCGCAGTTTGACGGTATTGCGGAGCTGCTGAAGAACGCCGGACCCGCCACCAATCAGATGGACCTCGCCAACGTGCAGGTGGGTGCGGATGGGGCCCACGGGGTTGGCGATGGAGAAGAGGCGGATGCGGACTGGTGGGGTTTCGGTGTGCCCTTGTGGGCAGCGGTGCATGTGGACCTGTGGGGAAGGCCTGCGCATGTGCTTTTGGAAGGTTAGGGTTGTGACATACAGCGAGGAAGGATCGAGGAGGGACCCGAAGGTCATAGCGCTTGTTGCTGCGAGTGCGCTGCGCCCCCCGTGTGCGGTGCTTGTTTCGACCCTCGCGCTCGATTTCCGTTGTCCCGCTGCTGCCTTCCCTTGGCACATCGCCGCCGCTTCCGCTCCACCGAGACCATCGGCTTTCCGCCTCCTGGCCCCCACCTCCTCCCGGCCCCCCCGCCGACTATGCGCATCAGTCATTCTTTGCGCATCAGTCGTTCTGTGGCATCAGTTTCACTCGCTCGTGGTGCGTCTTTTCCCCCACCTCCTCGCCTCCACAGGGCCACTTCAAGCTGGTCAATCATCAGCTGCTGCGCCTGCGCACCGCCTTCGCCATCAGCAGCGTGGTGCTGCACCGTGCGCTGGTGTTGCCGCCGCTGTGGTGCGGACTGGACAGGTGGTGGGCTCCGCATGCTGGTGCGTACGTCTGTGTACGTTGTGTATGTTGGTGGCTCCGCGGTCTGGTTTGCGACTGGGTGGTGGCCGCCCGACTGGGGCCCGAAGAAGGATGAACGGAACTGGGTTGGGGGCTTAGGAGGGCGGCGGGTTAGGAGTCTTCTGCTGGGAAGGATTTCAGAGGTTTGTAAGACAGGGACGAGGTACGAGTTCGAATAGCATAGCTTGCAAGGCTCGTTGTGCTTCCTCCACCTCTTGAAACCTGCTGACCTCAGCCGCCCAATCCACTAAGCTTGGGACCTAAGCTGGTGAACCTTTGCATAATCGAGAAGGGAACAGATTATAACCCAAATCACTGGACGCATCTTGGCATCTTCCGAAGCTCTCCATCACCTTTACGGACTGCTATGGGATTTGGTTGGTTCTGAAGCACATGTGCAACTCCATGCCCCCAACGCCCCGACGCACGATCCGGATAGCATGCCTGTACGGGTAGCCGACTGCCTGACCGAAGCGGCTGTGGCCTTGCCTCTGCTACATCCATCTCATTCCCCAGGCCGTATCCCGGGATCCAAGTTCGAGCTGCCCTTCCAGTGCCCCTTGGACCACGTGGTCGACCTGGAGAACGGCGTGTTCAAGTGAGTGAAGTAGGAGGCTGGAAGCTGGATTTGACGGTTACTGCAATATTTGTATGCTTCAGACACGCATACTGCCAGCCGCACACATACACACCTCCTTGCCACAGTCGCTACTCTCTCTCTCTCCCTGTGTGTACCAAGTACCTGGTTCCCCTCGATGAGGAGCTCTGTTCACTCGCCATACTTTGCTTGGATGTTTCATGGTTTGGGTCTGGTCGGGTCACTTGCTGTCCTTTTCCAAACCGCTCTTGCCGGACCCTCGCACTTCAGGAACCTGCCGGAGGGCGATTACGGTCCTCGTACTGAGATTCGCGAGTACTCCTTCTTCAACAACTCCAAGATGACCCCGCGGGTTCGGGACGACCGCGTGGTGGTGGAGCTGTGCAACCCAGGGACGCCCGAGTGCAGCGACGGCAGGGAGCCCGCGAAGCTACAGGTGGGGAGGAGGGACCGAGAGGGGAAGAAGGCCAGGGACAGGGATGCTGGTAGGGTTCTTGGGGAGGCTAGGGCAGACTTGGTGATGAGCCCGGGCGCGGGGGAGCTGGGACTAACCTCAAGTGCTGGTGACCTGAGTTATGAGGATTCCATTCTCGGTTGCCGGTTGGCGGGGTGTTGGCCGGGTTGGCGGGGTGTTCCCCTTCCGCCCGGGTAATGTACCAGAGCGAGAGGATAAGGTTGCATCGTCGCGCGGCACAAACGGGAAACCGATTAGTGGCACGCCAACGGTGACCGTGTCTTCACGCCATCTCGATTCCCCGTTTGGGCGGCATGAAGCTACTGGACCTGTGCTTTGCGGCCCGGTCTGCTTGCTTTTGGCACTACGCATAGCGTCCTTGCGCCCTTCCAACTTCCCGCAGAATACCTCACCTAAACCCCCGCTCGGCGGCCGTGTCCACTGTGTTCGCAGATCGATGGTGGCGTGGCTAAGGTCCGAGTGCAGGCGGGTCTTCCCTCGGGACAGCTGGAGGTGGCCTTGTCCTCAGTCAAGACCACCAAGGTGCTGCACTTCACCACCATGGCAAATGCCATGGGTGACTTCTCGGACAGTGCCGTCGCGGCGCGTTTCACCAACCGCATGAAGCTGTATGGCAGCATCTGGTGCTGTGTGCTGGCTCATCCGGGTCACATCCACTACGACATGCTTTTTGATTTGCCACATGTTGATAAGTTTCAGCGCGAATGGAATGGAACCTGGGTCACCCTCACTGGGCCGTGAGGCGGACGATATGCGCAGGTTTAGCCGGAGTGTAAAGGATGGTGGTGATCACATGAGACGGGGTAAACATGGTAGGAGAGGGGAGGGACTTCCGCAGGGCAGCTGCCCCAGATGTACTTGCTTGTGTGTTGACGGTTGCCAGGCAGCAAGGACGCGTGAGCACGTAGACGTCTGCAGCCACTCGGGGGCATTTTCGGCGACGTAGGTGGGGTCAGGGGGTGTTGCGGGCGTCCTGGCCGTTGTGGAGGCTGATAGACGTGGAGTTCAGGACGGTGGAAAAGGCCTTGGTTGCAGCTGAGCAGCTTAGAGATCTTCCCGCTGATATGAGTTGTGGGGGCTATCATGTGAAATATACGTACGAGTGATATCTCTTAGGCCGCTGGAAGGCGGGGAACGCCCAACTGGCCGGACTGTGGAGAGCGGTGCTGGCTTAATGATGCGTGAGGACACATTGGTGTTTTGGGCCTGCAGTACCTTGGCATTAGTTGGCCACAGCACGGCAGGGAAGCAGCAGCAGCCAAGGGCGCCGGATGGCAATCCCGGAAAAACCATGCATGGATGCGATGGATTTGCTACCATGACCTGATGCGGAGTGCCGACGATGGAGTGGATCCTGGCAGGGCGAAATGTACGCACCGTAAAAAGCTCAGCAGTTCACGAAACTCGTACAGCATATTTATGATTACAATTTATGATTCATATTCAAGGTGTTAAGAGCAACCATATACGCCTTGGTCCACGCTCGGTCTGCCAAAGGACCGCTAGCGTCACCGGGGCTCTGCCGCCCAGGGCTGGCGGCGCTTCTGGTTCCACCCCACATGACAAAACTATTCGAAGCAAACATGTCTTCCGTCACAGCCACAAGGCTTGTTAACAACATGCGAATCGTGGGACATCACTGGAAGGCAACCGGAAGAAAGCCGCGCGAGCCGGCACATGTGACCAACGACAACAGGCCAGCTGTTTGCATGAGCAGCCTTGCTGCAACTACAGGCACGGCAGGGACGGCCGACACTGCCTGCAAAACGGCATGGATGTATGCGAAGGATGTAGCAACTAGCCGGGATACCTTTGCCAGAGCGCGCGTAGGCAAGGTTCGTGATGATGACCATCAATCGGTGACAACCATGATTACCGGTCCGGTTCATGATCGTATCAACGATGAATGAAGGTCGCTTATTATGGCCCGGATGTACAGAGTACTGCGGGCGAATCTTATTGACACATCACCAGTACACGTGCCGCACACAACGCCATTCAGGTTTTGGGGACATATATGACGACTAGTAGATCTAGGGAAGTTACTCGACCTGCATAATAGAATAAACAATTATTTCAGCGCTGCTGCGTGCTTACGTTGCTCCATTGCTGGGTTGTGTCAGGTGTGCTGGCGCCGGCATCCCCGCCCCGATGTCAATACCAAAAATAATCCACACAAAACGAGGAAAGATTTCTATAAAGGAGGGGATGTTAGCACCCACCTGCCGCGAACAGCTCAGCTGCTACAGCCCTTGCGTCATGCACACATTCAGGGAATTGCCTCCCTGGTCCACCACCACAGCACCGCCAGGCTCGCTTAAATAAATCTCCAGTTCGGATACACAGGCTCACATATATACACACATACACACAAGTACACCCACATCCGGCCAGGGGCCGCAACACACACATCAGAGGGCGCGATGCAACAGGGTCCTTGCACGACACAGCCAAAAAAGGAGTTTCTATGTAGCCATAAAGAAAATCTTCGCTGACACAATAATTATACCTAGTACGGCAACTTAAAGAGCGTAAAAGAACGAGCTGCCGGCACGCAGCGAAAAAGCTGCCCAAAAGGGGTTTATGTCGGACGCATTGGTACAAGCAAGTTAGCTTAAAGAGCTACACAACCCCTGGTTGGCGGCCATGGACTGAAAGAAGAAGGCCCCCCACCTCACCTCACCTCACCTCACCTCACCTCACCTCACCTCACCTCACCTCACCTCACCTCACCTCACCTCACCTCACCTCACCTCACCTCACCTCACCTCACCTCACCTCACCTCACCTCACCTCACCTCACCTCACCTCACCTCACCTCACCTCACCTCACCTCACCTCACCTCACCTCACCTCACCTCACCTCACCTCACCTCACTAGTGGCTAGTGCGCCACTACGAGTCCCCTTCCCCCCCTGGAGCCGGCCCCCCCACCCGCTTTGCACGGACCCGGGGGCGAGTCGCCGTCAGCAGCAGCAGCAGCAGTGGGGCGGCCACACCCAACACCGCAAGCAACGAGGCAACCAGAGGGCTTACAATTGCAGCGGCGGCATTGCCGTCGTCGTCGCCGTCGCCGCTGCCGTACAAAGCAGAGAAAGGAAGCCGCCAGGCGCCAGAACTCCGCCGAACCCGCTGCATGGCGATTGCAGCGACGACTCCCAGCGCCGCCACCAGCAGCGTCGCTCTCGCCGCTGCTGTCCGGACCAAGGACCGGCTGGCGGTTGCGGTTGCGACCTTGGATGCCTCTCTCTCCACACTCTCTCCACACGTCTCCCCAGGCAATGCCGCGGAGAGGTTCGTTGTTGCTGTCGTCGTCGTCGTCGTCGTCGTTGTTGTTGTTGTTGTTGTTCCTGTAATCGCCCCCTCAGTCTCACCAAGTCCCTCAGCGGCTGCCGCTGCACCGCCTGCCCCTCGACGGGCAAGAGCGGCGGCAGGTGTCGCGAGTGACGTCGCGAGCGGCGGATCGGTTGGGGGCCGTACGGCACCACCGCCGCTGCAGCCTCCGCTTACGGGCCCCTGCGGGCCCCGCTCGCCCTGCGGCACCTCCCCGGTATCACTCCGGCGGCCCTGGTGCTGCGGGGGGTGCTGCGGGGCCGTTGCGGGGGAGGGCGCACCGGGGGGGGCTTCCGAGCCGGATACCTTTATTGCCGTACCGCTGGGGCCTTGTTTTGCCGTTGCCGTTGCGGACCATGACGGTCCGTTCCGGCCAGGCTGCTGCTGAAAAGATAATGGTGACGATGACGAGGGCCGCGATGGCGGCAGGTCCCCCCTGGGGCCCTTGGGGCCCGCAGCACCAGGCGCTCCCGGCGTCACCCCGACCAGGCGCGCAGTGGCGGCACCGATGCCGCTGGCGGCGCCGGCACCGGCGGCACCGGCACCGGCGGCACCGCCGCTGCCGTGTACGAAGGTGCACACCTGGGGAACGGTCTCCACACTGTCCAGGCGCTCGCGGCCGCCGCCACCTGCGGCCCCGCCGGTCCCCAGCACCGCCGGCACGATCGATCCCGGCGCGGTCGAGTACTGCGGAACCAGGGCCGCCTGCCGCCGCCGCTGCTGCTGCTGCTGCTGCTGCTGCTCCGAACCGGGACCTACAGCAGTACGACCTTGGCACGAGCTGGAACTAATCAACACCGCCGCCACCGCCTCCCGAACCGGGAGCGGCGGAGATAGGTAGCGGCTGTCGCCACCGCCGGTACCGCCACCACCACCAATCGGCTCCATGTCGCCGCCGCCGCCGCCGCTGCTGCTGCTGCCACGGCTGTCGCCCGTACGAAGATCGTCTGCACGCGGCTGCTGCACCTCACGTCTCTCCACGCGCACCAGGCTCTCCAAAGGATGGGGCGACGCCGTCGCCGCCGCCGCCGCCGCCGCCGCTATCGATGTGGTCGCGATCGATCCGTCTGCCTTACGCCACCGCCATGCCGCCCCCGCCGAAGACGACGACGCCGCCGCTATCCCCGCACCCTGTGCGCTCCAGGCCTCACTCACCGGCGAGTCCAGCTCCCCCGCCGCCGCTGCCGCCAACAGCATGTCGGCGGGCAGTCTTCCAGGACTGGGCGATGAGCCGTAATTAGATGATGCCGGGGAGGAGGCGAGGACCCATGACCCCATCGCAGTCACCGTCGCACCTTCGGCAAAGTGCGAGTTCCGCTGATGCGGCGGGGATGATGACGCGCCGCCGCCGCCGCCACCGCCGCCGCCATCGCCGCCGCCGCCGCCTGCAGTTGCTGTTGTGGGTGCGCAATCATTGGTGGTAGCTGCTACGTGCATCATGTGAAAGAGCTGGCTGGGCGTGACTCCGTCATCCGCTTCCAGGGTGCCCAGTGCCTGCGGGGACGTATCCGGAACGGAGGTCAGGGCGCTGAAGGTCACACATACACACGCACGCACACGAGACCTCCTTTACCCCTTCCCTTACATGTTGTTCCCCGGGGGCCCCCTCACACACACACGCACGCACCTGCTCCAGCCCCGGCTGCAGCCGCTGTAGCGACCTGACCAGCAAGGGGGCCTGGGGCAGTAGCGCTATTAAGTGCAGGGGAGTGACACCGTTGACTCCTGACAGGAAGGGTTGCGAGGGGGGGTTGAGAGGTCATATTGGGTCACGAAAGAGGAGCGGAAAGGGTTGAGACCCTCGGGGCCCCGCGGAGGCCGCGCGAGCAGGCGCCGGAACACGACCTCCGCCGCCAAATCATTCAGAGAGAGAGAGAGAAACAGCGCATCTGCTGCAAAGCAGAGCGTAACGCACCCCCCCTGCCCCCTGCGCCCCTGCCCCCGATCACCTCTCGCCGTGAGACTGCAATGCTCCCCCAGCAACCCCTCCAGCGCCAACAGCGGCATCAGCAGCCGCAGGTCACCGACGCGGGCGGCGGCGTGCATCAGTACGAATGCGGGTCCCGGAGCCAGCGGGGGCGCCAGGCCCCCATGCACCCTGTCGGGAAAGCGCTCCCCCAGCTCGGACAGCCGGTCCACCAGCAGGGCGATGCAGTGCTGCATGCGCCGCTCCACCAGCGTGTGCAGCAGGGTGACACTCGTGTCCTGGAGACCGGGGGGAGGGGGGGAAAGACGAACCACACACGATTGAGGGGGGGAGGAGGGGAGGGGGGGCATGCGTGGGTTGGCGGAAAAACGAGGACCGGGCTATACACGCAGAAATATCAGGCTAACAAACAACCATAAACCGTTTGTGGAGCAGCAGTAGCAGTTGCGGCCTGATGGCGGTGCATCCACCACATCTCCCAATGCCGCCGCCACCGCCGCCGCCGCCGCCGTCACACCCACCCGCACCAATCGCCAAACCCCCCCCTCCCCTTCCCCCCTCCCCTCCTTCCGCAATTACAACAATTTGACTCTCCAACACAGACACACAACAAAGACGCATACAGACATACAACACACACATACATAAATACATACAGATACAAAATACAGGCTCACTCGCTCACTCACCAGCAAGCTGCGCACCGCTCCGGCACTGAGCAGCAGCTCCACTACTTGCTCGTCGTCTGCATTAGTCATCGCATCCGTGGGGTCATTGCGCTCCGAAAACAAACCCCTGGTACCGCTGTTCTCAGGACTGGTGTTTCGGCTACTTGTACGACTGCCGCCGCGGCTCAACACGCCGCGCCGTCGCATCGGCATCACCAGCGGTGCCGCCGCCGCCGCCATCGCCGCCGCCATCGCCGTCGCCTGCGACGCCGCCATCGCGACGGCAGGCTGGCCGCTGCTGCTATTGGTTTCCTCAGCAGGGGCGTCGCCAGTGTTGCCGCAGCTGACGTCCGCGCTCTCCGTGGAACCCCAGGTGCCGCCCCCCCCAGGCTGCACATCCACGTTGACGGCGGAATTGAAGGCGGAGGAGGTGGAGTCAGAGGCGCTGACTGACTCCGGCCCCAAGCCCAGGGACATGGAGGGGCCGCTCTTCACAGGTGTGATGCCGTTGAGGGGCAGGGAGAGCAGCGCACCCACACCCAACACGAAACCGAAATCGGCGATGAACCGGCGGAGGCTGTGGGGGTGGGGGTGGGGGTGGGGGTGGGGGAAAGGAAGTCATAGGTGCGATATTAGGCGCATGAGGACAAGAAGGAAGTGGTGTGAGGCGAGGCGAAAGTGCTGCCGCCCACCGCCAGCTCGAGGTGGGAGGGCGAGAGGGGGGCCCGCTCGTGGACATGTTGCTGCTGCTTATTTTATTTTAATTTAAACACTTTTCCATTATTTTTTGGTTGATGCTATGCGCCTCTGTTGTGGTGGTTGTTACGCAGCTGGGTCGAGGGAGGCATCACAGCGAGGAAATGGGAGGCGAACTGCGGCCGGTGTCCAACCGGTGGTGGGGTAGGTGGGGGAGCTAAGCAGTGGTGAGCGGTGGTGAAGGGAAGGACAAACACACACATCGGCGACCACCGGCAACCCAAGGGAGGGGAGTGGGGGCCAAAGAACAGACGAGCTCACCTGCTTGGTCAAGAAGTGGGAGCAATTCAGCGGCAGCAGCCCCCCATCCCCTCCCATCCACACGCCATCCGTACGGAATTTCCCCCCCCCCCAGGGGAGGCAAAGTGGCGTGAGCGTCTTAATGCCCTTGCGTCACGGCGCATATAAAAAACGTCGGGGATTCGTGTGGATTTGTTTCCCATTTCCCCCGCCACACGCCTCCCCCTCCCCTCCCCTCCCCTCCACCTCAAGACAACCCCGTTCGTCCATCAGGGCGATCACCCTTAAGAAGTACGACAACTTGGGCACTCCTCAAATCCTCCCTTCACCCGAGTTTTCCTTCCTGAACACGGGTCCCCCTCTCCCCCTCCTCCCTCCCCCCCACCCCGCACACAGCGGCCCCCATACCTCGCCGGTCCCATTAGTCGCGCCAGTGCGTGCACCTCCTCCACCGCCCCCGCGGAGGGCAGCACCAGCAGCGGGTAGCTGGGCCCCACTGCCCCGCCCCCGGGGGACACCGCCTCAAGTTGGAGCAGCCCCACCTGGGGCAGCGCGGGCAGCTGCAGCATCACTGCCCCGCCCCGGGAGGTGCGGAACTGGCAGAGGGGAGAAGGGGGAGAAGGGGTAAGGACGGGGGAGAGAGGGGGGAGGGGTGTGTGTGTGTGTGTGTGTGTTTGTGTGTGCAGCTGGCGCACGGAAGGCACGTGAGGCACGGTGCGAGAAAAAAGGGCCGGGGGCTGAGGGGGAAAATAAAGACACATACACACATACATATACACACAAGCCAGCAGCGCCCTTGATTTCGGTTTTTCCACTGCTCTGCCCTTGTTGCAGTCCTCCTCCCGTACTGCAAACACGTTCCGCAACATCTACCACACTACCACACTACTACACTACCACACTACCACACTACTACACTACCACACTACCACACTACCACACTACTACACTACCACACTACCACACTACTACACACCACACTACTACACTACCACACTACCACACTACTACACTACCACACTACCACCACTCGGACTAATCCTCCTGTGGGCCCTCCTCTCGCGGCTAACATTGCTAAAACACACCATGGAGGCGAGCTGGCTCAGTTCTATCAGAACAGGAAACGACTGAGCACATATCAGGCATGGCACACATGCACGGTTACATGCATTGTCTATGCACATGCATCCGTTCACCCACACACTCTCCGCCCTCTCCCCCTCCACCCACAACACTTCCCAAAGCACTGTCATGCACTGTGCCCCCCCCTCCCCCCCCTAACCCACCTGCAGCTGGTAGCAAACCCCATGCATCCGAGCCCAAAAGGCCATTCCGAAACGCTCCAGATTAGTGCCGTACACCAACACCTCAGTAACAGGTTTATCTGCGCGCGTGTGTACGTGTGTGTTTGGGGTGGGGGAGATTGATTGCCACCCGGGGGAGAAAGGTACCACCAAGTGCGGTACGGAACCATGCGGTACGGAACCATGCGGTACGGTACGGTGAAGGGGGAAGACGAACCACGAGCGAGTGAAGGCGATGCCAAGGAAAGACTGATACGCCAGAAGTGAAGAAGGCATAACTAACCAGTCGGCGGTTCTGAAAAAGAAGTCCTCGCGATGATGTTAGTAGTCATGTGGCGATAGCGGAAAACTACCTACCTAGCCGCCAAGACTAAATTAAGTGCGGAAAAAGAGCAGTAGAACCAAGAGCGGTATTATATAGCGGTGGAGGGGGACTTAGGACGGAAGGAAGGCAAGCTAACAGATCCCTCAAGCGGCCACTGCGACCAGGATGCCAACCCGAATGGCGACCAAGCGACAAATCCACCGCTCTCACTCACTCACCCACTCACTCACTCACTCACCCACCTGCGCTGATTGCCGCGCACGAAGCAGCGACGATGGTGGGCAGTGCGAGCAGCTTTTGGACGTCCCCCACGTCGCCTTCCTCACTCACGCGAACCGCCTGCGGGGGGGGCCGCAGTTACGTTGAGTCATTAATGCGATGTATGAGTGTTGTAAGTATTAGGGGTATGGGTGGTGGTGTGACAGAGAATGGAAAGGGGGGGCAACAGCGCATGTGTGCGTGTATCGCGGCATACGTCCTCAAGGGAAAGGCCAGGTACACACATACAATACATAATATAGGGTTTGGCACCACTGGTAAGGCGCGACCATTGTCCCCGGTAGATCCCGGGATCGATACCCGTTCGGGTCAAAGACCTTCCGATGGTGGAAGGCATTGCGCCCCTAGTTGATGGACGGTGGTGACCTGGGATAAAGTTAACCCGCGAGCCGACCAGGAATGGAGTTGGGCCGCTGTCGACCCGGCAGATTCCGTTGGATGCTGGTGGTGGGTGCGGAACCTGAGCGATCCACTGAGAAGTTGACTAGGGTGACTGGATGAGGGTGCCCCGAAATACCGGGGAAGGCAGGGTTTCGCAGGGTAGCTGCCACGGGCGAAGATACACCCCCTGATTCACACATCATACATACATACGTGTATATTTACATATAATCACATTTGCATACATGCAAACATTCATACCTTGTCCAAGTGGAAAGACCCTCTCCCCCCATCTCTCCCCCCGTCTTCCCCAGCAGACCCCCCCCGTCACTACCATGTCGCCCAGCTGACACGTCAGGGCGGTGTCGTTGACAGTCGCAATGTCCCGCAGAGCCGCGAGCACATCGGGGCTCCGAAGAACAGCCTCCGCTCCCACCACCCCGCCCTCGCAAGACCTCCTCTCCAACAGGACTCGGCTCAGGGTCAGAGCCCGCAAGCCGCCCAGACGGCCCCGCACCCCGCCCTCCACCCTGCCCTCCACCGCCGCCGCCGCCGCCGCCGCCGCAGCTTCCCCATCCAGGGGGAGCGGCCGCAGCCGTTCTTTCAAGACAGCGAGGCCCGCCTCCGCGAGGGCCGTCGTACGAATGCCCTGACAGCTGCCCGAGTCGGATTCATACCACCAGGAGCTGCTCGAGGGTGAACCCGCGGACACGGCGCCGCCTCCGCCGCCTCCGCCGCTGCTGCTGACGGTGGTGAGTGCGTCGCCGCCGAGGGAGAAGCGGCAGCCCAGGCCGCCGCCGGTGGCGGTGGAGAGACTGCTGTTGCCGCTGCTACTGCTTGCGGCCGCGGCATCGGAGGCGGCTCCCCCACTCGTGTAAGCGTTATTGTTGTTATTGCCACCGCCGTCGCCGCCGTCGCCGCCGCCGCCGCCGGCCCCTGCTGCTGCGGCGGCCGCAGCTATTCTCATCATCCTCTCGGTGGCAGTACTGCCCGGGCGGTGCGCGTCAACGATGAGCTCGGTACACCCGGGCCGTACGTAGCCCTGGACGCTCTGTTGGCGGCGAGGGATGTGCGGCCGCGTGGGGGTGTGTGCGGGGGGTGGGAGAGGTGCCGTGGAGAGAGGAGAAAACAAAGGGGGCGGCAGTACATTCCAACATCCAGACAAGCAGGCCGCCACCACCACCACCACCACCAATTGACCCGTTGCCGTACCTGCAGTTTGTCGTACACGGACAGCATTCTCCGTAGCGACGCGATGGTCGAAGGTTCTAACTCATGTGGCGCTCTGCTTGTGAGCTTGAGCGCCATACGGACTAGCTGGTCAGGCTGTGCGGGACGGGGGGGGGAGGGGAGGGGGTGAGGAATGTGTGTGTGTGTGTGTGTTGGGGGGGGTGGGGGAAAGACGAACCACACACGATTGAAGCTGGGGGGGAGTGCGGGGGAGGTTGGTTATGTTGTGCGTTTGGTAATGCTGTTACGGGTGCTGATGACGATGTGCGCGTATAGATCTGCTCCGTACGACACTCCACAAGTTTGAGGCAAAGGACGCCTCGAGCTCTCGCCCCCAAAGCCCCCTAGGCCGCCGTACTCACCTCCCATTCCATTCCCCGCCGTACTCACCTCCCCGGAGCGGTAGCCGAGCAGTCCCCGAAGGGCGCCCCCTCGTCCGAGCCCCACCGCACGGTGGCCCCGACCGCCGGCGGACCCGGGGCCGTGAGTCGCGGGGCTAGCGGCGCCGCCACCGTAGCTGCCGCCGGCACCGACGTCGCCGTACTCGTACCCGTACGAGTGCTGCGGTACCTGCTGCTGCGGGGGCTGCTGCGAAAGGTAATGCATGCACGTCTCCAGGCTACTGCCGCTGCTGCCGCTGGCAGCGCCGTTCTGGCCGCCCGGCTTGGACTTGGGCTGCACCCAGCCGCCGGCAGTGCCGCCAACATCGCCGACATCGTCTGCTGCCTGGCGATGGTACCAAAGCGCCGTCGCAAGAGACGGCTCCGGCGCTGACGGCGCCGCCGCCGCCGCCGCCGTGCCGTTTGCGGCAGCCGTGCAAGCGGCTCCAGCAACACCACGACCACGAACCTGATGACTCCCCCCGCCGCCAATCGCCGCTGATCCCGTACACGCGTGGCGACCGCCGCCGCCGCCGCCGCTGCCGTCGAACCCGGCCGGGCCGGGGGCCCCCCTGGCAAGCGAGTAATGCGCCTGCTGTGACGGCGGCCCAGCTACGTCGGCAAAGCCGCTGGCCCCCTCGTTCCCGGTAGGCAAGTACGGCGACATATTCGTCCCCGATCCCGGTGGTCTGCCGTACCATCCTAGCCCCTCAAGCCGCGCCGAGGTGACGATATCCTGGAGCTGTCTCTCCAGGGCGGGGTCATGGATGCCGGGCAGTTCCGCAGGGTCCAGCGCCACCACCACCGACGGCGGCGCCGCGCTGAAGATTTGCGGCGGCGCACTGGCACCCGCCAGCAACCGACCCGTCGTTGCGTTGTTCAACGTGACGTTACCGCTGGCGGCACTGGCGGCGACTGCAGCGATGCCGCCGCCGTACATCGAGGAGGTCACCGCCGCTGCCGGCAGCGGCGCCGTCAGCACCTCAGGTCGCTGCTGCCGCTGCTGGTCCCAGGTCAGGTGTGGCGTCGCCGCCGCCGCCGCCGGCTTGCCGCCGTGCAGCGATGGGAAAGCAATCAGGGTTCTAGAAGGCAGCCCCGGCAGCCCCGCTGCACCCGGGCCGCCGGGCTGTAGGTGATGCTGCTGGTGTTGCTGCAGCGATCGCATCCAAGGGAAGTTCATGTGGCCGCTGCTGCCCTCCTCGGGGCTGCCGCCGCGGCCGCCGCCGCCGCCGCCGTCGTCGCCACCGTCTCTCATCACCACGTCCGGACAGCACCTCGATGGGGGCTCCAAATGCACAACGTTGTTGCCGTTGACCTGCGGGTTGCTGCCGCTGTACTGGTAGTTGAAGTTGTTGTGACCGTTATTGTCGCTGGAAGCGCCGTTATCGTTGAGGACCGGTAGGACGTTAAGACCGTTGGAGTTTGAGGCGTTTCTGAAAGGCGCCGTCCGGTCCGACAGAAGGCGGCCTCCACTGCCCTGCGTCGTGACGTGCGGGGTAAAGGGACGAAGGGAACACATACAATACTCATCCACTGCCACTACCTTTACCACTGCCTCTACCTCCACCCGCGCCACTGCCACCAGCACCACTCCGGGCTGGGGAGGGGGTAGAAGCAGCGGTGGGAGTTGGACAGGGGGACGTTACTCAGACGGTTCGCCCAAACACGAGGAGCCAGCACTTCCTCCTGTGTGTTCTTGTGTACGACTGTCAGGGAGCCTGGGCGCTAGGAGCCCAATGCCGCCGGGCAAGGTTCTTGCTGTCTTGGCCACCCCGGCCCCCCCCGCCCTCCCCCGTCCAGCCGCCCGGGCGAGCCCAGTGCTGACGCGTCTCCCACCACCACCACCACCACCACCACCCCGCTCCCCCACTCGCCTGAGGGTGGCTGCTGTCCAACGCCATGTCAACGTCTCGAGCGGGGCACGGCCGATCTGCTTCATGCAAGCACGGGTCTAGGGAGGGAAAAGGGGTATATCGTACGTCGTGCAAACCTAGGATGTGCCCCGGAAGGAGGGAAGGCGAGAGGGTGCGTACGTGCGGGGGGAGTACGCATGTGGGACGTGTGTGTTTCAGCGCCGGGGGGACACGGGGGCGGCGGTTGGCAACCAGTTTCACCCACATCGCGGCAGAGCTGACCACCGGGGGAAGCCCCTCTTGGCTTTGCACGGAGTGTGTGTGTGTGTGCACATGTGCAGAGAAATAGAGACATACATACGGACAGACAAACAGACATGCTGGGACCGGATGTTCATCAGGTGGGTACTGGGGACTGACGGGGGCAGTGGCCGCAGTGGAGGAGAGCTGTGCGACAGAAGCCAGATAGAACTAGGAGGGGCTGGACCTGTCGCAGCAGCAGCAGCAGCACCACCACCACCACCACCATCACCACCACCACGACCATAGCATCTGACCAGCTTTTATATTTGTAGCTTAGATGCGGCAGGAGCAAAGCGAGTATAGCCTCTAAGCTAGGTTATGTACGGCAGCCGTATGGCTTGCTGAGATTTCGAATTTACTATTTCAGCTGACAGCTCCATAGTTCCGGCATTCTGCCTACACTATTGGAGCTTATTATTGTTGCTCTCACTTCCCCCCCCCCCCGCCCTCAGTGTCCCTCGTTTATAAGCGGCAGGCTCGGCCCAGTTGGAGACCTGGTGATTAGGCAGTCCCCTCGGAGCGCCAGACGCACAGCTGTACAGCGATTACCGCACGGCAAATAAGTGCCCTTAGAGTATCGTTGCGCGCTAGGGATGTCGCCTGGCCAGCCCCGCTGACCAGGGTGTGGTTCGTGCGTCGCTGACGCTTCAGGGGCGGGTGACCAGTGGACGCTGTCAGTCATTAATGCTGCGTTTAGTTGTCTAGTGCTGTGCGTCAGTCCTTTCGGCCGTGCCGGTGTGGCCGCGCTGGACAGCACTGCGTGCGCTCAGACCGCGCCGTGTGGCGCTAGACCGCGCTTCGGCGCACACGCGACCTGGCGCTCCGAGAGCAGCAATTAGTACTGCAGTAGTGTAAGGCCACAGCTTGGCAGCCCCGGTTTCGCCTCGTCCTGTCCTATCCGGCACCCCGAACGCAACCGTACAGCAAGCCATGGAGGCTATAGGATATAATACGCTGTGTACGCGTGTGTGTATGCGAATGTCTGTACATGTGTGTTTCTGTGTGTGTGATACGCTGCCCCTAGCACCCCAGCCTCACCAAGGACATTTCTCCTGCTGGATTCAGTTCGCATCATTTCCTCAGGACTGCCCCAGGTGCTGTCAAGGTCCTTCCAGCCGCTGCGTTCACCCTTATCGGAGCTGGTGTTGTCGCTGGCGCTCAGCTCCTGATTGCCTTCCTGATCCCGGGACTTCGCTGATCGCAGTTCTTTCCGTTTTGAAGCATGAGCGATCGCTGAGCGGCGGTCCAGGGACATCTTGCAGCTCCTGAGGGACGTATGTGCGGCACATACGGCCATCGAGGATGTGATGGAGTGTACAGTGTGCAATGTGCGGCGTTTCAAGCAGGAATGGATCGATGAGGGGGTCCTAGACGCAAGGAATGAGCCTCCCGGCTGGGCTGTCCAACACTGGAATTGCCGAGCCAGGCAACGTACACCAAACCCGTGTTTACCTGTTTGCGCCGATGAACATGTCCAGGTTTTCAAAGTGACCGCACTGCTGGCAGTATCGCATCTTTTCGCCTGCGGACGGCAGCGAAACGTCCTGTGGTGACCACGATGCTGCAAAAGCAGAGCTCTAACCAGCTGCAGAGCTCACACGGCTATGTTTTCATATAATCACAAGCGCGCGAGATCAAACTTAAACAGGTCGGAGACTGTTATCAGTACAACATCTAACCCTCACCGTTTATCCAGACTTGTGGCGCCTTCATATGCGTTGCACAGATGGAATGGCGTTTAAAGTAAGGTTTAGCGTCACTCAAATCCACGGTGCAGCCAGGGGCCTGGCAGGCACTTGTTCGAGCTTTTCGCCTCTTGCCAGCTCCGCGCGTATCATAGGCTTCCATTATAACAGTGTTCCATTCAAGTGGACCGGCCTGCCATTGGGCGTGGGCAAAGCCACTGGCTGACATTTCGACGCAGTGTCCTCTGTTAGTAGACAGAGCGCGTTATAAATGGCAGAAACACGTCCCTACCCTACAAGAACGAAAACGACACACGCTACGCGTAAGGTAGGGCTTGCCCAGAAATTACCAAAGTCTGTAATGGGTGTGGTGTAATTAGTGTGGTGCATTGATGGAAGGAAGGTAGTTAGATGCATTTCAATGCCGTACATGTTTATAATGCGACTTGAAGGATTGGACGTACTTATGCAAAAAGGAATGGCTGAGAGGAATATAGGGTGCTTGATCAGAAGTCGTGGACAATACTGGTGTTAATAATTTTCCGCGGCCGAGGTGTGTGTGATTGTTACAGCCGAGGTTACGGCCGAGATGATTGCTCACTTGCATGTCAAGAGAAATGCATGAAATGACAGGCACATCAAGGATGTAATTGGTGTGTCGCGCTGAAACAAGGGCACGACAATCTAACAAGAAATGCCTGTTATTCCAAGTCGTCGGCTGCTGGGTCCCCTAGCGGACACGCTAGACGTGCTGCGTTTTCTGAGTCAGAAGCCCATACACTTCTGCCAGGCTGGGCAACATGCAGTTGTATTCGACACGTTGTTGTGATGAGTATAACGTAAAGGCTTAGCAATTGGTTCATGGACTGTTACACCATTTGCGGCACATATTCATAAAAGACGAGTACCGACTGTGACTCTGCCGTAAAAAATAGCGCAGCGGCGGGTTGGTGGCTTGAGCCGTTCCACGCCAGCTGTGACGAATAGTCAGCCTGTGTTAACACATCACTGATGCGAAAATATTCCGAAT